ATATCACCTCACGACAAATCCTCCTGGTGTACCTCCACGGCCAACACCATGCTCCCGCCATTCTGTAACTCAAGTCCTTCCTCAACCCCTATAATTTTTGTTGTCCCTCAAAGTTCCAGCTTCACTTGAACTGTGGACACTTTTGCACAGGGTTCCTCCTCATCCAAAAAATCCTTGATCACATCTGCCAATAACCCATCCTGGGTTGATGCGTCCTGGACGAAGTCTCCTCAGATGTCACCTTCAATTCCCCGACGCCCGGTGAGAGTGAACATGTCTCCGCCGCCGCCACCTCGGTCGACCTCCTTCGCTCCATAGGTCATTCCTCCGGCCTTCCCGAAGGCATCAGGCCAGGCCACAAATTACACGACTGTTGAATCACAATTGGAGTGTCAGAGAATTCGAGGAAGCCCGCCTCCTAGGACATGGGGTGGCCATGTGCTCATAAGAGCTACATAGACGGACATGTTTTCCGTTGCCCAGCTAGTACACATAAACCTTTGTGTTCTACATCCGATCATCGTTAACTAGGGTGTATAGGCCTTGTTAAGGTCATTTTATAGGGTGTAAGAACCTTCCGGCATTCCTTCATATGTACCATCCCTCACACCCCATTGTTGCAGAATGGCCACTGTTCCCAATAACTTCGAAAAACTCCTGCAGGCCATAAGCCGTAGCTCGAAGGGTACATTCCGTACCTTCACCCATGTGAAGTACTTAGGAGACGTCTGTAAAACAACATCATCGTTGAATTCTCACTCATGCGTTGTTGTTTCTGGTAATGCTCGGGACAATTTCTTGAGTAGTAATCGACTCGTAGAAATTTCACAAAGATTCTTGTTAAAACCATTATGGGCGACGCCATACAGTTCCTCGTGGGGAATTCCATATGTATCCTGATGATGTTAGGGAGGAAGGACGTTTCATCGGTATCTCACTTGAAACGTACCACGAACCGCTCTATGCAGATAGTATTCACTCTCCGTTACTGTATGTTCCGCCATGGTTTGATATCCAAATGGCAGCGCACGGTCCCACTACTCATGGGTTGTTGCTGAACTAATGTAGCTCGCCTGAAGGATGCAGACGGGGTGCGAGACAACCTCACTCCACCGTCGGTCAGGCAGCGAATGATGGAACTAAGTGGAAGATAGGTATTAATAAAGGGGTATTTAATAAGGTTTGAGGATGTCTCTCCAAGAGAGAACCGCAGTAATGGATTTAAATTAGATAAGTTTATATTAAGAAAGGACATAGGAAAAGTTATTGGTTTGGTAATAGGGTGTTGATGAGTGGACAGTCTACCTAGTTGGGTTTATTGAGCTGGGGACTTTGGGTAGTTTCAAATTTAGGTTGATAAGGTGGTTTGAAAGGACCACGGAAGCAAAAACTATGACATTATTTATTAGAAAACGTTTCTGTCCTGATACCTTGGGATCACTTCTAACCATACAGAAGGTAGAAAGGGCTTATTATATAGGAGGAGCGTGAGGTCGTTGACGCACGTGACCTGAGGAATGTCATAAGAACATAAGAACATAAGAATTGAGGAAACACTGTGAGGCCAACTTTGGCTTGCTTCTTGAGAGCTCTTCGCATCTCCAGCCCTTGTTTTCTAGAAGAGAATGCACGTACATAACCAAGGCCTTTACACGTATTTCAGTTTCCCATCTTTTTCATCCGGAGATTGCAGACTTAAGTCACAAGCTATTCTCAACAAACCGCCCATGGAACAGGCCCCCTAAAGCCAGTTCATAGTACTCCATGTGGTGATGTTGCACGAATACTCGCCGGGCACTTCTATGAGTATATCAAAGTTTGCCACAATAAAACACATCATCTATCAAAGAACCTCACTACGAAACGCAGCCCCACCACCTCTAACTTCTACAGCAGCGTTCTACAACTATCCTTGTGGCTTCTGTCCCAAGAAATATGTAGGCGAAACAGGCAGAGATCTTGCGTCCGCTTGAAATGAGCATCGAAATGCCTCTAACAGAGGACGATGTAAGGTACGCCTGTGTCCTCCACAGAGGACTCCACGGGACATTTGAGAATGGAAGGAGGCACAACTTAGTTCTCCAGAACCAGACCTCAGACGCCGACGGTTGCCCTAGAAGCCTCACTAATCGCCGTCCACCGACACTATAGAACGCAACACTGGAAACTACAAAATTTCAGAAACTTGCATACATGATACTTAAGCAGCACCAACCCAAAACAACACAGGAGTCACATGATATCAATGTTACCCGACCTCATCATAGCAGAGGTTGTTTGATAAGGACCTCCCTCGCTTGGGGCCAGAGGCCTTCTTCAGTGTTCTCCATTCTTATGTCTTATGACATTCCTCAGGTCACGTGCGTCGCACTCACTCTCCCGCCTATATATATAATGCATTTCTACCTCTGTATGTTAGAAGTGATCAAGGTCACAGGACCGAAAAACGTTTTCTAATAATATGTCATAGTGTTTGCTTACGTTGTCTTTCTAAAACCAATCTTTTAATAAAAGTTGGTAGAATTACCGACAATTATGTAAAGGTAAAAGGACACAAGTTGCAACTATGTGTCATTTGATGAACATCAAAATGGTATACAATACCGGAAAACCAGTGTAGGTAAGACACATATGCAACAGTTAGACAACTTTATTCGAAACGTTTCGCCTACACAGTAGGCTTCTTCAGTCGAATACAGAAAATAGGCAGGAACAGTAGAGATGTGAAGACGATGAAATCAGTCCATCACCCTTGTAGTCGTAGAATTGAGGCTGTCAGCCGTCCTTCGGCTGGAGAAGTTCAGTTCCATAGTCAGGACGTGTACTTAGCTGTGGTGACGTGTACTTAGTTGAGTGGTGACGTGTACTTAGTTCAGTGGTGACGTGTACTTAGTTCAGTGGTGACGTGTACTTAGTTGAAGTGGTGACGTGTACTTAGCTCAGTGGTGACGTGTACTTAGCTCAGTGGTGACGTGTACTTAGCTCTGTGAAGACCTGTTTGTGTGCTCTTGAGTGGTTACCTGTACTTTGAGTGCTGACCTGTACTTAACTCTGTGAAGAAGTGTCTTGTTTGCTCCCGGGGACTGAACCAAGATGCCCTCCATCGAGCAACTTTCACCAGCAACTTAAGGAAGAAATTGTGTGCAGCGAAGATGGAGAATACGGCGGACTGACCGAAGAAGAAAAACAACGTGGATCGTAGTAGTCCTTCCTGTTTCGACGTCCTCAGGTCAAAGTAGGGATCTTGGTCAGTGCTGGACAGACAGGGGAGACGGACGAATGGTTGCGATCAAGGAAGACGAAGGAAAGCCAGAAAAGATGAAGAAGAATGAGACTGCTGTGGAAACTCCCGTGGAAACCTCAAAAGCATTCTCGGGCTTACCCGACGATGTGAGTCTACTACAGGGATCGTCACTGTACGAAACGAACAACAAGGAAGGTTAGAAAATATTGTTGTTGTTGTGGGCTAGCCAGCGTTAGATACATGGATTCAGGGCATTTGCTGGAAGGACAGGAGTAGGAGACAAAGGGTATGCTTTCCTGGGGTGGGATGGAGAAATTGTTAGCCGGCTTGACAACATCATGAACGGTAATGGGATCACTTCCTAAATATTTGCCTCAGTGCTGGAGGCAATGATGTGCAAGCGTGAAGTGAAGGATTTAGTTAGAAAGTTCAGACCAGCTATAGTCCATGATTAGAGAAGGGGGGGCGCCCTGTTATATGTGGCATTTTGCAAGAAGAGGTGTTGGTAATGAATGGTTGTCCAGAGCAATTGGTATAATTGTTGGCTGTAAACACTGTAAGGATAATTGCCGTACCATTCATTGACAACTGGAAAACTCTATGGCCGAAAGACATGTTTGCCCAGGGATGGGGTTTCACTTATCCAGGGGAGGTGTGGGTTTTCTTGCTACTCAGTTGAGGGGGTTGTAGGACTTTTAATAGGATTAGTTAGAGTAGTTATGGTTTTTTGCAGGGAAAACTGTGAAGTGTCGCAGGGTAGTAATATGAGTACTAGAGAACTAGTAATAGGCAAAATGAGGTGGATATTGGAAAGCCAGTGGCACTAATTGACAGGACAGTAAATAAGTTTAGTGGAATAACAGAAAGGAGCAGGAATGGGTTAATGGGAGTGGAGGGTTCATTAAAACTTTATTACACAAATAGTCCGCAGTGCTAAGTATAAGATGGGCGATGTTGAGGACTAGTTGCTAGGTGCAGGTAACATAGATGTTTTTGCCATTATGAGGACGTGGTTTAATTCAAAAAAGTTCGGGACATGCCTGCAGAATGTCTCAATTTCAGGGTTCTAAATTGTTCCAGTACGTAGAAGTATCGGGAAGGGGGGTGGGGGTGGCATTGTTATGTCCGAGATCGCCTTGAAACTGTTGCATAAAACGGGTATTAAGTCTGAAGTAACACTTACATAGACTGTTTGGATAGATTTTCGAGGGGATGAAAAAATTAAATTTTAGGTGTGATATACTGTCATGCCCCTTGGTTAACCTTCTTTAATATTACATTTGCGCGTCATTTCCTTTAATAGCTAAATTGGAAATGAACGTCCTTGTATTATTAAGATTAATTCTTATTAACAATTATAATTTATGTAACATGGCCATGATAAAGTTTATTGGGATAGTAACCTGCCTGCCGCCGGTGTGCCGGTGTGTAGTTAGCGTGATGGTTCGATGGTTATACCCCCCCCCTCCCTTTAGTTCAACAAAATACTCTACTGAGTGTTGGTTTGAGTCACGTCCACGGTCCCACTTTTACCTGTATGCTCATGGTTGAGGACGAGCAGTGAAGAAGTAGCAGCCAACGAGAACACTCCTGCTGTCCTCTGGTATGGCCAGATTTATTAGCCGGGCCTGGACATATTCTGTCTTTTATTCTGACTGCTTCCAATTGGGAAACAAGGACTTTTAATGTATAAGTAATCTCCATTTTTATATATGTTATATCTAGGATCTCCTCCTAATTGTCTGTTACAAAAGCCTTATGTATATGTTGGATACTATAGAAGAAACATGTATTCTTAACTTATATACGATAATTCGTATATTATAACTGGCTTTTGTTATATTATGAATATACTTAATTAAAATTAGGCATTCCGGAGGATCATTATTATTACCCTAACCTCTCTGACCAAAATTGTTATGCTCTAAAAAGAAGGAAATAGTTGTTACAATACTTGGAGTGTAACAAGTGGGGGCCTGTGTCCGGGAGCATAACACTGAATTTCCTTTAAAATGAATGTAGAAATGGCAGAGAGGTTTGAAGATATAACAAAGGAGAAATTACAAAATTTGAAGCTTCAATCTTGTTGGCAATTAGCACGAAGCTTGGGCATAAAATACGACAGGCATTTCACTGCCCAGACAGTCAGATGTATGATACAGAATGTCCTTTTTCCAGATGAGCAGGATCCAGAGATCGAGAATGGAGAAGCAGATATTCCTTCCTTTTTGAATTCTTTTCTACAGACGCCCGAGGCCGAAACTACGACGCTAACAACCCCTCTGGAGACGACGGACATGAACTTCCTGATACTCGGAAACGCTACGCTGCTACAACGACTCCAATTCCATCTCCAAGGACTATATGGGGAACAGAACTCAATCACACTAAAGAAACGGATCCAGGTAAACCATTTACAGATAGTTTTGAAACAGAACAAGAAGTCCTTTTGGATGATGAACACGTTCCACCTCAAATCTCTTTAGCCCTTTTGACTACTATTCAATCTAAGGAGAATTTTGAACGTCTAGAACGTATTTTATTGCTTCAAACCTCCTTTGTAGAAGCCCAGAGAAAGTTAAAAAAAGGGGAATTTTGAACGTGAATCTTTGCTTTATGAACGGGAAGTCTGAGGAAGAAAGAGAATCCAGTTTAAAATGTATACAATCCCTTCATTTGACCTTGGGAAAGCAGCCTCTTTGATGCCTAAATTTACGGAGGATAATTTAGATTCATTTTTTGAAGCATTCGAAAATCAGGCGAAGGTGATGCAATGGCCTCCTAAATATTGGGCTGCTTTAATACATTCATCTTTAATAGGAAAAGCCCAAACCGTAACTTCCAACTTACCTTTTGAACAATATTCTGATTATACTCAGGTAAAAGATTGTCTTCTGAAAGCTTATGATTTATTACCTGTCAGTTATTTGAAGATGTTTAGAACTCTGAAGAAATATCCTCAGCAGTCTTGGGTGGACTTTGCCAGGGAAAAGCTCTCTGCTTTCGAGCGTTTGGCGTAGGGCCGCGGGAGCCGCCTCAGTCGAGTCACTTCCCAGCTGATGTTGCATGAAGATCTTTTTAAATATTTTCCAGAGAGGGTGCATACTTATCTTTTGACATTTCCCACTACTAACTTGTTAGATACTGCTGCCCACGCAGATCACTTTGAAATTTCCCATGCTATAACCACAGAAATGTCTAAGGCCCGGAAAAGAAATCTACCTCCCAAGGTTTTAGTTCAAGATTGACGGCTAGGAAAGCTCCAGCTGGCGAACCTTTGAAGGTGTATTCAGACAAAAAACAGGTGACAAACGGCTCTTTCTCCAGACAGTATCCTAAAGATCAATTACCACTGTGCCTTTTTTGTAAAAAGTTAGGTCATAGACAGTCCAGTGTTGGCATAAACAGCGGGAAGATAAAACCCAACCAAGAGGGAGATATCCTACCCAGGTAATAAATTCCTCTCGGAAGTATGAAACTCTGGATGATGAATCTCTACCTTTTCAGGCCTCATCTAGCAGACCGTCTAATAGATGACTTTACCACGACAGTGCTTCAGAAGAAAAGGTCCGAGTAGCTATGGAAACCCTACTTTTCCCAGGGGAAGTTCGGACTCTGTAAAGAGAGGTTAGTAATATCACTACCTTTCGAGATACTGGCAGCTATCCTCTTCTTTATAAGATCAAACCTGGTAAAGTTACCTACTAGTAGTGAACCCCGGCTAGACGTATTATTAGAGGCTTACGGAGGCACAAATAATAAAGGTCCCTATTATAAGCATTTATGTAGAACTGCCTGGATATGTAGGCTGGATCAATGTGGGACTTTCAGATAAACCTTCCCCATTGCCGGCGTGGATCTATTAATCGGGAACGAAATTGATCAATTGGAGATACCCAGAGAGCCTCTGGTTTTAGATAATCCTTGTGATGTAAATTTTGCCTTAGAAGCCTCTGAGGCAGGGCTAGATTTATTTCCCCTTAATGTGGTCACCAGAAGCCATGGCTAAGAACTCTAAACATTTTGGATATTCAACAGCCTTTAGAAATGTCGATGAATTAGGTTTGAACTTCCTGTTTAGCGAAGCAATTCAGTCGAGACCCACAGGTGACAAAGTTTTACCAGTCCCTGCGGACCTAGCTAGAAAATGTAATAAAGAAGAATTTCTTATAGCTCTAAAGGACGATAAAAGTTTAACCAATAAGGATAAAGAGGAAGGTTACCTTTAGATGAAGACGGTTTCTTTGGAAGAGAATAATGATAATGATTTGAGTTCAAAAGGAAACTTGTTAGTGGTGCCATCGTCCTTACGTAATATGGTATTTGAACTAGCACATGATAATCCACTGGAGGTCATTTAGGATCTCGTAAGACAGAGAAAAAGATAAGGAAATATTTTTTTTGGCCTCAGATGAGACTTTAGCTGACAAACTACGGAAATGCCCCGTTTTT